ACATGATTTAAGTTTTTTAATTGCTGACGTATTTTGGCAGATCCACCACTGAGTTCCGTCGAGTCTCAATAATATCGGGATTAGCCTATGTTGATTAGCCCATTCCCTCGTTGGAATTGGAACTGAAACAAGCTATGCATTTGATAGCTTCAGTTGCCGTTGTGCCAGAGGGCGGTGTTGCACAACTGATAGGATCTTTGTGGTGGTTAGTAACGATCACAAGTTGCTAAGCTCTGCATGAGACAGTTGGTTCGAACTGCCAATCTTTAAATACTTCTTCCATTTTACTTTAATAGTTCTGAATTTTTTTTTAACACAGTTTAAGAAAAAGTAGTTAACTTTGTTGAAACAATCAATTTAGCTAGTTATTTTCTTAAAATATTTTCACATTAATTAGAGTACAAAATTTAAAATCATATTCTTTTATTGAAGTTTCATTAGAAAAATTGTGGGAATATGGATGGTTCTGAAAAGTTTCATTACAATTTTTGTAAAATTTTAACATCACCATACTTTTTAATAACTTGGACTAACATGGAAACAATTACTAGGTAATTCAGTTTTGGGTGTTTTAAATCTGTATTTGCTAAACATGATGTTCCCTGTAACATTTTAGTATGATTAAGTTTGGAAAGTCCGATTTTTATCACCAATTTGTAGTACTTTGTGAAATTGAATTCAACTGAAAAAGAAACCTAAACAGATTAATGGAATACATATAAATTTCGAATTGCCAATTGAAAGATTCAATGAGGTGAATGTAAAATAGATTTTCAATCTGCCTTTAAGTTTTTCTACAAGAAAGAACTTAATCGAACGAAATGTTACTTTTGAAGTAGATTTGCTAAACTCTCTTGTAAATTTCAATAAGATGCATAATCCGTGCCAAAATATGGCATCCGGATGTTCTAGTAGGAGAAGATCCCTCTACTTTGAGAAAAATGGTATAGACTTCTTTGCAGAATCTTAAAATACAATTATTATTTCATCCACTTTTGTTTTAGGCTGAGGCATATATGCCATATTTGCCTCAACCTTAATCAACCCCTATATAGGCTGAGGCATATATTTAGCCTCCTGCCAATCCCTAGATAAACCATGTATATCTTAGAAATATCTAGATCTATTTCGTTTCGACACTGTTTCTAATGTATAAATTCTTAAAAGTTATTTTTCCCTTTTTTTTTTGGTTTTTTATGTTGCTTTTCTAAGTATACTATCGATTGTTACAGGAAGAAACACATAATTTTGAATTCGACATCTTGGAAAACAGTTGAAGCTGGTAATATTCATTTGTGGTTTACTCTTTATGTTGTAAGCCATATTATTCTTTTCCTACAAACTTCTCTGATCTAATTTGATCTTCTTTTTTTTTTTTTTTTTTTTGTTATTCAGGTTTTTGTCAAAGAAAGGATAAAAGGGGAAGGGGAAAGGGGAGAATTTCGTCTGGAATTTTGCGTTTCTAGGTTTATTGCGTGTATCAAAATAAATTAGTTGTTAGTATGTTTTTCTGTTCGCTAATGTTTTTTCTTCCGTGGGTAGTGAACATGATGAGCCTGTTATTGGAACTTTCTCAAGATTAGGAAAACTTTCTGACGAATTCTTCATTTTATAGTTGATTTTTCTGGTTTTATTGTTTTAATGTGCCAAAGGTCAAATCATTATCATGACTTTGTTGAATATGTTTTGATCCAGTCTTGATTCATGAAGTATGCTGGATTTACTAGGTAAAATGAAATTTCGAATGTAAAAGTAATGTATTCTACCATCAAAATAACGCCTTTCCCTTCATTAATTATAACTAATCTATTTTGACGAATGACTTGAATAAAAATGTGCAAAATTTGGGTACACTTCACGTAATTGTGACATGACTTTGCACTTTCTGGAAAAAAAATAAAATTTGGAGAGAATCGGAGGCTTCAATCAAGTGTTGATCCATGATTTCAACCCCAAGTTTCGCAAAAATTGGTTGAAAATTTACCAAATAAAAGTAACCAGTTTTGGCCTTCTTCTCCATTTGCACCCAAATCCATCAAAATTCATGAACTTCACAGGAAAATAATGCCTAGAAAAACATTTATACCAAGCACCAAGGACACTTGACAACATAATCACAATGTCAAAAGATGATGCACATGGTATGTGAACCAGATTTTAAACGGTCTTGATTTTCAACCTTCCCTCTTTCTGTTTCGTCTTTCCATCCTGTGATAAAAATCTTATCACCTTGAACCTCAACATTGAGTCATATTACCAAAATTAGCTCAACACGACACAATTTTCAAGTAACATCAGTTGAACTGAAGGAACTATCTTAGTATGGGGCCAGTCTAACCTGCTTCCCTGGTAAGTCACACTAGGAAAGCTTCTTGTCAGACAAAACAGAAATAAAGAAAAGCAAAAAGTGGAGCCAACATAGATCACTAATATGCAGTCACCCAAAGGCTAAACCAGAGCATTTTGGGCAACAAAATGCCAAAAAAAACAAAGAAAGAGAATTTTGTTTAGCACTCAAGCTCATCGAGAGCCAACACAAGCCATTGGCCAACAAGCCTAGCAGTGGCGGGAAAATTTACCGGATGATAACAAGCCTCCGGTTCTGTAACTCCGCGTTCTCGTCACGCCATGTTATGCTTACGTGCATGCTAGATTTTCGTAAAAGCCCTTAGGCATTCCATCACAATGACAATATTGCCCCAACAGTGACCAAATGTCGTGCCATTATAGGCTCGTCACTCGAACTGTCACAGCCGATCAAGCTTCCGGAACTGCCACATCAGCGACGAGCTCAACCCGCGATGCCCCAGATGGGGCGATTTTCTAAGAATATTGTTAAAATAAAAAAAGTTCAGAAAATTGGAGTTCCGTGGGAAGTGTTTCTGATTAAGGAGTCGCCGCAATTGAGATGTGAGGCTACTGGCAAAAAGAGGTTTAATTTCCATTTATTTTGGTTTCCTTTCTTTGTTTGGTTCAATGTCAGACTACTTTTTGACTAAGGAGGCATTAAATATTTTTTTTGTATTATTTAAAATTTTTTTTATTGACGCCGCAAATCAAATTTGCGGCGTCAAGTAGGATTTATTTTTTTCCACCGTTGATCACATGTGATCAACGGACGCTGTCGATCAAAATATTTTCTTTAAAGTGAGCTGGTTTAATTTAATTGAAAAATAATGTTTTAAAATAAAATCGCAAATCTTGATTGCAGCGACGGTTTTTCAACCGTCAATACCGCCTACCCAACATATCCAATGGTTGTCATTGGATAGAAAAAAGTTAACGGACATGCACTAATTTTTTTTAAACTAATCTAATCAAAGTTCGGCATTTAGTCAAAGCATTACTACAATTATTTGTTTGCGGACAATAACTATTATGCTTCATTTTCACGGACAACTTCAATATTTCTCTATTCTCTATATATTCACTTGAGAAAACCTACTTCCTTCGCTTTCTTTCTCTTTCGGAGGTCATATCAGTGACACACCTACTCCCATACCCGTATTTGGCTATACGTCCGCTGCTGCACCGTTGTCTACAATGCTTAATACAACAATGTGTCCAGAAATTCAGCTTTCAGGATAATCTTGATCAAATGCACCATTTTCCAGGGACCTCAGCTGGTTTCTCACCTGTTTTGCATATGGACGACGACAGTGTTCCCATTAGTGCTTCTTTCATAGCACCTATACATGGTTCTTGTCCTAGATGCGGTCAAACTCCGGTATTTGATCCCTCCGTTGATGATGATGATGATCCAACACCTGAACAAGTTCATGCGCTACCTCGGAGGTCCGAACGATTATAATTAGGATGAGATATACCACATAAAAGAATTCATTGGAAATGTGATTGTTTTACCACTCCGTGAGATAAAGGCAAGAGGCGCGTTGATGGATGAAATAATTATCAAAACTCTCATTTTATTGCTAATTATTACATTCTATAAATATTGTTTAATGTTGTATTATTTATTATTATTCAATTTAGCATTGCCATTAAAAATTTTAAAAATATGACTTAGGTAAATTTTAGAATATTTTTAATACCATATAAATTATTTAAATCCTAAACTCTAATTATGCCTAATTTATTATTATTTAAGTTTATATAGTAATTATTACATTATGTAAATATTGTATTATTTATCATTATTGATTGCAATAATATTATTATAAAATTTAAAAATATGATTTAAGTAAATTTTATTAGTAATTTAATAGCATACTCGATTATCATGTTAATTTATAAGTTTCTCATTATTCTAATATCATATTTTAAATTGTTGATAATTTTGGTTTATAATAGAATTTTAGTAATATGATTTAAGAATTTTAATTTAAAAAGTGTTACATTGTAATTTGAAAATTAGTATTTCATGTAAAACATAAAATTCTAATTACACCTATTTAAGGGTTACGTAAAAATGATAGGAAAAAACTTGATCGCGCTACCTTTTATTAAATATTAAATAACTTATTAAAAATTACATATAAAATAATAAAAGGTAGGAAGAATGGTTCATAAAAATAAATAAATTAGAATGAGCGGCGATACTTATTAAAAATTACATATGAAATAATAAAAAAGGTATGAAGAATGCTTTGGAAAAAAATAATAAAAAAGATAGGAAGAATGTTTCGAAAAAAAAATGTAAGGACAAATGCTTCGCCGCTCAACTTCATGAGCGGCGAAGCATTGGACCAAAGATTCCTTCGCAGCTCATGAAGGTCCTTTTTTTAAAAAAATAAAAACCGACCCAAAATACGTGAAACTAAAATAAATGAAAATTAAAAGAATTTTTATTAGTAGACTCATCTCTCAATTGCGACGATCCTTTACTCAACATTCCACCACGGATACCCCAATTTTGTGAACTTTTTCAAAATTAACAATATTCTAAGAAATTCGCCCCAGATGGCCCTCTCTTTGTTACACATGCAACGGAGAAAATTGCAAAAATGGGCCCTACAACCGAACCCTTTAAAACTCTCATGGAGCCCTAAGCGCCGAAAAAAAAAACCCCACCTTACCCCGACCACTCCGCTACCCCCAGGCCACTCTCAAGTCACAACCCCCAAATCTCTCAAAAACCACCTTCACTTTCTCTCTCTAGAAAATATCGCTTCTTTGAAATTTCTCCGATCATCTGTTTCCATCATCAGCTGGTACCTCCACTTCATCAACTGGTACTTGTTTTTAACATTTCTATATGCATATGGGTTTAGTTTGGGGCTTGGGAACTAGAGGAAAATTTCTGGAGTTTGCGATAGTGTATGGTCTGATAGTGCTTAAACTAAATGCTTTTCCCCTCGTATAGAATCAATTAACAGCAAAATGGACCAATATTTTTCGTCTGCTATCCTTGAATGAACTAGCACAATGAAGTGAGCAAATTTCACGGTAAGCATTTACTTTCTACTATTCTTCTGCAGGCCATGTATCTTCTCCTTACAAGGTTAATTCTGCACAGCATTTTCGAAGCAGCAATTATCCCAAGAGTACCAGTCTTCTGATTGCAGAGGGTAGTGCTAACAAGCCTGCTATACGTACTCCATTTCCTCGAAGGCTAGGGGTACAAATTGATGATCCTGCTGCTACTCAATCCGCTACTGGAAGTGTATTAGCCGAGAATATGGAAGCCCAGACTAGGAGTAAGTAATTCTCAATTCAAAAGCAGCTCAATCCTTTTCATGATGCAGTTGAATATCATATCCTATGGGCTGTTTGATTTAGTATATTGGGCTGCATTTTTTCTGTTTTGTCCTTCTTGAGACCTTAACAAGAATATTGCTTTAAGGATGACTACAGCATTTTTGACACCTCAATGCTTGAAAAAAGTTCTCCACCCACCAGAACCCCCCAAAAAGGGGGGAAAAGATGAGAGAGAGAGAGGGGTTTTTTTTGGGGGGGGGGGGGAGGGTGTGTGGAGGAGAAGAAAGCACCAGTTTATTTGAGTTGTGAATTCCATAGGCTGGTTTCTAGCAGTCAAGTATGCAAAATGCTCTGGTTTAGCCTTTGGGTGACTGCATATTAGTGATCTATGTTGGCTCCACTTTTTGCTTTTCTTTATTTCTGTTTTGTCTGACAAGAAGCTTTCCTAGTGTGACTTATCAGGGAAGCAGGTTAGACTGGCCCCATACTAAGATAGTTCCTTCAGTTCAACGTCCTTCAGTTCAACTGATGTTACTTGAAAATTGTGTCGTGTTGAGCTAATTTTGGTAATATGACTCAATGTCGTGGTTCAAGGTGATAAGATTTTTATCACATGATGGAAAGACGAAACAGAAAGAGAGAAGTTGAAAATCAAGACCGTCTAAAATCTGGTTCACATACTGTGTGCATCATCTTTTGACCTTGTGATTATGTTGTTAATTGTCCTTGGTGCTTGGTATAAATGTTTTTCACAGGCATTATTTTCCTGTGAAGTTCATGAATTTTGATGGATTTGGGTGCAAGTGGAGAAGAAGGCCAAAACTGGTTACTTTTATTTGGTAAATTTTCAACCAATTTTTGCGAAACTTGGTGTTGAAATCATGGATCTACACTAAAAACTGAACTCATCCTATAACTTTGGAAAGATTTCGCTATTCTATGGTGACAGCCGGAGGTGGAGGTGGAAGTGGAGGTGGCAGTTGTGGCAGGGAATTGCCGCCGCACTTCCATGGCTGCTACTTTAAAATATTTTAAAATTTAGCGAGGAAGAAGATTAATATAAAATAAAAAAGAAATAAAAAGAATTAAATGGATTTCTTAAAAGTAGAAAACAATAATATTTAGGTATTGTCAAATTATTTCCTCATGGAATTAAAAAAATATATAATAGTCCAGTTGATACCAGTTGGGCATTTAGTCTTTACACCAGTTCCATCTAAAATATTAAACAGACATTACCTAAGAGGCCTAGAGGAGGGTATTTGTTATTTGGCTAAACCTTGGGGTTTGTTTGGAAGTTTGGCCCAAGCTTAGGGGAGGTAAATGTAATTAGCCCAAAAAATTACAATAGGCCTCGGGGAGCCGTAACTTGTAACTGTTGTCCTAAGAAAACGATTTCTTCCTTTCACTAGAGGTCTAGAACCACGCTTTTTTAAGATGGTATGGCTCAAAACAGAAACAAAGTACAGTCCCATTTTCACTCTTTAGCGCGTATTTCTTGAAAAACAGACAAAATGGCGAAGAAGGAGACTGGAGCTTCTGATGTGCGAATTGACAGCGTAGTAATAACACCATGGAAGGCCCTTCTAACACACGTAACCTGCGGAGTAGGCTTAGGAGTAGCTTTCCATGCTGCCCATAATTTCTACTCCATCAATTTGATTCAAAATCCGGCAAAAACCCTCCGTCTGATCTGGGTACTGACCATCTCTATCAATTCCTGTCAACTCCAAATTGATTATTTCTCATTTTTTTAGTTTTCTAATCTCTCTCTCTTTTTCAATTGTTGGTTTACTTTTTTGAAGGTTATTGAAGCTCCAGTCGTGATTCTGCTGTACAGTCTCTTTCGACATCGTCCAAATCAATGCTCTGTAATTCCAATTAATTCCATTTCCTCGTCTGATTAATTTCTTTTGCTTGTTGGTGATTTTTATATGTTAATTTCTTCTTTTTAACTATTAAACGAGGTTTTGATGTGTATTGGACAGTACTTGAAAGCCGTAGTACGAGGTTTGTTGGCACTACCTGCTGGTTAGTCGTTCATTGCTTTTTTGTTTTTATATAATTTAATTAACTTTTATCACTTAAAAGTTTTGGTTAAGTGGTTGGGATTTCAAAAGTTGCAATCTTTAATTGCTCTGTGCTCTTTATTTTTGTTTCTTATTATTTTTTAAAAATTTATGAAGTTATTTCTTTCTTTGAAGGTTAATGATGTACAAGTAATAGATAAAGTTGAAGGCTTTGAGAAGTAATTTTTACTGTAGTAATTTATACGTTGAAAAGAGTTACGTTAGCGCTGTTTAGCACCTCTACCTGTAAAAAGATAGGTTATTTGAATATAGAACAAGGATATTACTTGAGGACTCATTCTTTCACAACTTTCTATCTTCTGTTTCAATATTTTGGCTGCACTAGTGGTATAATAGCTTTATAGCTGAATGTTCGTCTGTCAATGTTTGCTTAACATTTTTTTGTTGTTGTCTTTTTCATTATATTGGATTCTAAGTATGTTGGTTTTTGCATGTAAATATATAGGGGCAGTAGTGAATGCACTTGGAGCTATAGCATTGGGATCACCCATGATTCAGTATGTAACTTATCTGAGTTGTTTCCAGTCTTTTTATTATGATTTTGAGAACTACTGAGGTTAAACTTCAGGTTGGACAAATGGTCTCTGTTCTATTCTATCCAATGGTAAATAACTGCTTGTCGATGTTTTGGAGCATAGCAAATCCTAGACTATCTTGTCACTGAAATGGGTGAATAGTAGTAACCATTACTATGATGAAATAGACATGTGCAGAACAATACAAATCCTGAGTAGCAAGCATGAAAAGGAGTTTTTATTTTTTTTTAATTATAGTTCAAGAGTTATTTTGACACTTCACGAGTATTTTGTGGAACAAATTGAGATAATTTTCACAGTTTTTATCATTATCTTAGATCAGATGTTTTATTCTGTGGTTAATTCCAGGAACTTCAACAGGACCCTCCACTGGTCTCTTCTGATGTCAGTGCTTACTGTAAGTGTTTCATTTGACATCTCGTTTGTCATTTTGTAACTCATGCTTCAGTAAACTCCTGGATCAACTGAACTAGCTCCGAAATTTGTGCTGGAAACCTAGTAATTTGATGTAAAATTTGCTTTATTTTTATAAGTAATCATAGATAACCATCAAATTTTCCTCTGTGCCATAAGGATCTTAATCAGTTATTTCCTGGTCTGTAAAACTTCTGCTGCTGTTGGCAGTGTGTCCCAACAGCTTCTGTGTTTGGTTCTTCTTGGGCTGACTGGCACCGCATATTTGCTCACACAAAGTAAGCGTATGAAACTAATGTGATTTTATTTTGCCGACATTATTCCCTTTTTGTTTTTCTAGCATTGAGAATTAATACTCGTGTTATTTGACTTCTGCAATTGTTCGTAACCTTTTGGTAGGCCAAGTGGACCTGTAGAGTACATGATCTGCCTACCTGCTCATGGAGCTGTCATTGGAGCATGGTTTGGCGCTTGGCCAATGCCACTTGACTGGGAAAGACCATGGCAGGTAGGCTTACCTTCCTATCGAATTCCTGTCATTTAAGACTTAGATGATTTTTGCATTCCTTTTATCTGCATAATTCATCTGGTTATCTATGTGATTTTTTACCACTTTAAAGATTAAACTCAATCTACTATAGGCTTTTTTCCAAAAATTAAAAAAATTTCTTGTAAAATTCTAGTATCGGTTGCAGAGAAAAACTTGAAACAGTTTTTCGTTTTTGGATACATATTGAAGTTTGTTATGCTGAAACTGTAGCTGAATGAAGTTGGTAAAAGGTCACAGGTTTTGACTCTCTCTATTTTTTTTCTTCTTTTCTTACTGTGTACATCAAGAGTTGGTTCATCAAGAACTTAGTAGTAAGAGTGGCTCAGAAACCATTGACACCTTCAGGTTGGTCTACCATCACATGGCCAAAAAATAAACTCTTGTTACATTCTCCAAAATAACACAAAGTAAAGTATGGAACTTGATATGTTAATGCAGCGTATGATACAGTCACGATTCCCAGTTGACAATTCAATAATTGATGCTTATCTTTCATGGTTAGATTGTTGTGTTGGCTCTGATATTCTTGTTGTTCACTTTGCCTTTTCATATAAAGACGTCATATTAACATTGTCTTAGTATGAATCTTAGACCTTGCACATGAAATTGTGTCTTGAAAAGCACTGGAGAGATGGTGAGGGTTTATGCATTGTAGTCCTGATGCGGTTCTGATAATTCCATGATGTAGTGATGTGTTGATATATTGTTCCAAGTATAATCTCCTAGGACATGTTAGTTGCAATGGTTTTGGTAAATGTACTTGACCATATATGTTCGAGCTTGGCAATTAGATTCTAACTGTTGGATATTGTTCAGCCTTGGTTTGCAGCAGGTGGTTCAGTTGTCATGCTTTGCACCCTGATGCTGAAATTATTTTGAATTTGTTTGTAGGACTGGCCGGTTTGTGTGAGTTATGGAGCTTTGGCTGGGTATTGTGTCGGGATGGCAGCAGCTTTTGGTTTTGTCTGTTTCGGAAATAATCGAAGGCATGTAAAAGGAGACTAATGATGGAGAATTCGACATTAATCTTTTTGGAGGTTGCTATCGATGACCTTATTGATAGACTGAGTTGCATCCAGCTGACCATAGCACCTCACCTGCTGAGTGGAGGTTTTGTAATTTTTTTCCCAGTAACATTACAAAACTCATCCCTTCCCAGAACTTTTCTTTTTGCCCGGGCAATGCCTTTGGTTCCCATTGGAAATTCATTCTTTACCCTTTCTTTTTTCTTTCTTTTTCCCTGTAACTATCTATTTCTTCCATTATGATCTGCTACTGCCTTCTAAAGGGAAAATCCTCGTCTGGTGTATGTTGAGGTTGTGAACAAGAAGGATGTTGTTATTTCTGAGAGATTAGCATCCATGGCACATTCCTCAATTTTTCGCTTTCCATTGTGAAAAGCTTGAATTACTGAGTCCTGGTTTTTGCTTGCAGGTGAAGATGTTTCACAGCCATTGTTCATGTTTTGTCTTTGAAATGAACTTTGGGCAGTTGGGACACTTATACCTTTTTTTAACCCACCATGGACCATCTTTGTACATTTCCACTTCTCGTTGACTCACTATGACTTTTGACAAGGCTAAGCAGAGACGCAAACCAGGTCACCGCTCATCACCCGTCACTTGCTAATCCGTCTCAATTGGTGCTATCATCTTGTAATAGTGCTGCAATTAATGATGCAAGGACCAGTATGTATCCAAATTTTATTTGTCCATTTTCTAAATCTGCCCAAGAAAAAAGTAGGTACCTACCAAGTTAGGCCCGTTTGGATTGTATTTTTTTGAATTTTTTGTAGAAAAAATACTGTAGCGATTTGATACATGTGAAGTAAAAAGGTGATAGGAAAATATATTCACAGAAAACGTAATAAAATCGCAATCCAAATGGGCTTTTTTCCTTTTTATCCTTTACCATGCTACGAACGAGGGATTGGGCAACAAAATGCCAAAAAAAACAAAGAAAGAGAATTTTGTTTAGCACTCAAGCTCATCAAGAGCCAATACAAGCCATTGGCCAACAAGTCTAGCAGTGGCGGGAAAATTTACCGAACGATAAGAAGTCTCCGGTTCTGTAACTCTGTGTTCTCGTCACGCCATGTTATGCTTACGTGCATGCTAGATTTCCATAAAAGCCCTTGGGCATTCCTTCACAATGACAATATTGCCTAAACAATGACCAAATGTCGTGCCATTATAGGCTCGTCAATCATCGAACTATCACAGCCGGTCAAGCTTCCGGCAGCGACGAGCTCAACCCGCGATGCCCCAGATGGCCCTCTCTTTGTTACACATGCAACGGAGAAAATTGCAAAAGTGGGCCCTACAATCGAACCCTTTAAAACTCTCATAGAGCCCTAAGCGCAAAAATACAAAACCCCACCTTTCCCCATCCCCTCTCCTACCCCCAGGCCACTCTCACGTCACAATCCCCAAAATCTCTCGAAAACCCCCTCACTTTCTCTCTCTAGAAAATATCGCTTCTTTGAAATTTCTCCGATCATCTGTTTCCATCATCAGCTGGTACCTCCACTTCAGCAACTGGTACTTGTTTTTAACATTTCTATATGCATATGGGTTTAGTTCTCGATTTTAACATTTCTATATGCATATGGGTTTAGTTTGGGGCTTGGGAACTAGAGGAAAATTTCTGGAGTTTGCGATAGTGTATGGTCTGATAGTGCTTAAACTAAATGTTTTTCCCCTCGTATAGAATCAATTAACAGCAAAATGGACCAATATTTTTCGTCTGCTATCCTTGAATGAACTAGCACAATGAAGTGAGCAAATTTCATATTGACCAAATTTGGTTTTTACCTAGGTTTCTGACTAATTTTTGGTCGGAATCCACCGTGTGACTTACATGTCATCATTTTTTAAGGGTAAAATTGTCAAATTAAATTTTTACTTATCTGATTCATAGTCCCTTACATTTCACAAAATGAATTTTTTTCATCTCTAACAATTTACAAAATGAATTGTTTCATTCCTCACATTTCAAAAAATGAATTTTTTCATCTCTCACATTTTTCAAAATGAATTTTTTCATCGCTTATTGATCATGTGTACGAATAGCTTTTTTTTCTATAAACCCACGTATATGTCTATTTGATTTTATCTGAACAATATAATAACATGTAATTTATGTCTATTGGATTTCATCTAAACATGCTAATCGTAGTTATACACATTCTATTCAATAGATATATATAGGGGTTTAAAACTAATAATTTTATTTGAAACTCATGTATATATTTATATGATTTCACCATTTGAACCTATTCAATATTTGTAATCTTTCTCTTTTAGTAATAACTTATTTCTTGAGTTGTCTAATAAGGTCATCTAATTAATGGGTCCTACTCGAATTCCATAATTGTATTAACAAATTTCAGTTTAAATCTGAAATTTCTATTCAATACTTTTAAGACCAACAGTTGAATTATTTGTCTTGTGATTGTTTTAAAATTTGAAAGTGCCAATCACTTATTTCTTTTTGTTATACTTTTCTTTTGTTTACTTTTTCTATCCAAATTTAATTCGATATAAATACTCGATAATATTTAGGATTAAATGTCTTCTTTATTTTCAAATTTCGAGTAAAAGAAAATGAATATAAGTGAAAAACTAAGAATTTTTTTGAACCAATGTATATATCTATTTGATTTCACCTGAACAGTACGAATAGCATGTGAAAGTATATATCGATTTGATTTCACTTGAGCAGTACGAATAGTATGTAATATATCTCTATTTGATTTCACATGCTATTCGTACTGTTCAGGTGAAATCAAATAGATATATACATGAATTTTAAAAAAATTATTCACATGCATGATCAATAAAAGATGAAAAAATTCATTTTTAAAAATGTGAAAGATGAAAAAATTTATTTTGTGAAGTATAAGGGACGAAAAAATTCATTTTATAAAATGTGAGGGATTATGAATCGAATTATATAAAATTTGATTTGACAATTTTGCCCTTTAAATATGATCACGTGATTATAGACCTATGATTAACTGAAGTGATAAATTAGCTCCGGGGAGGAATACGAATCACCCCACTAGGTGAAGACCTACATAGGAGCAGAGGGGGAAAAAAAAGAAAGAAAACTCGTACTAAAAAAAATGATATAAAGCTTGATTTCCTATTAAATGTACATCATCATAGAGGACCTGTTGAATTATATGATTTCACGGGACAAAAGATTCGCAAACAGTATTCAATTTTTATCTCTTTCATAAACTAAACATGGTTGCCTGCTTCTTCTTTTTTTTACTTCTTTTTTTGTTTCTATAAGTGTGAGGTTTTGAATTCAAAATCTCTTATTTATAATCTCTTTCATCTTATCATCCAATCTAATTCTTCACCAAGGTTACGTGTTTAATAGAAAAAACATACCATATTGATGCCAAAAATTTTATGTTTAATCAGCATACACAAAACACTAATTACCTTGGACTTTTTCTGATTCATGGCTTGTTTTACATGAAATAATCCAATTGTACTAAATTTTTGCAGAACTTTCATGGCTAGGAAGGTAGAGTTATCTGAAAGGGAAATTCATTTAAAACGTCTCTCACATTTTACAAAATAACTTTTTGGTCCCTCACTTTTAAAAATGTAATTTTACGTCCCTTACAAATTCACTAAGGCCTTACAAATTCACTAAGGATATAAAAGGTGAAAAGGAAAATAGCAAATCGAATGTTAACCAAAAATTCTAAGCTGAGACTCATGAATACATGGATCCTTAGAGCCACGGAAACAAACTTCATATTTGACAACTACATAGTGGTAGTTACATTTATAAGGGAAAAGCACAAGCAGCAGAAAAGCCTTTATTGCTTCAAGCGGCTACTACAAGTAATACTAGAACTTAGACAAGAAGATCTTCATGCATATTCACGGTCCACACCTTTGATCATTCAGAACAAGCTTTAGCTTGAGGCTAGGAAGGGATTTGGAGGTGATTCATAGACTCCATGTCTTGCTTCATGATAGTGAGTTGGTGATGCTGGCATTGGTGGAGGAGGAGGTGAAAGAGTCCTTCCATAGCTGGTTGCCAAGGACGGTTGAACCAGATGTAAGCCTGGCGTTTGCTCGACTCCATGGCTTGCTTCATGATAGTGAGTTGGTGATGCTGGCATTGGTGGAGGAGGAGGTGAAAGAGTCCTTCCATAGCTGGTTGCCAAGGACGGTTGAACCAGATGTAAGCCTGGTGCTTGCGCGCAAGTTACGATCATCCTCAACAGGACTTTGTCTACACTCTTCGGAGCAGGAGTTCCGTAATTTGACTAGACCATAGAGGTGTAACCATGCTCTGCAGCGCAAGGAAATCGTTAGGTAATCAAGCTAATAATGTGCAAAATCAAAAAATTTTAAACCATCCATTAGTATTTTCCAGGAACTGCATGGTACCATGCACAATATATCAGTAAATTTTGAGATAAATGGATGAACCTGAAAATAGTTGGCATAAGAATCATTGATTCGTACAAGGAAAGAATGACTTGGTAGAAGGGTAAGCATTTAATTAAGCCTCCAAAGATATGATAACAAATTAGAGCAGAAATAACTAGTAATGAAATTAGTTATGCATTCGTTCACATATTAATTAGAGGAAAATGTGGAAAGTGTTGAAAGGAACCTGCCGGGCAGCTGAAATCAGTGAAGACACCAGATCTCAAGATCAAGTATCATGAAACAGTAAGATTGAATAAGAAAATCCACTGCAAGAATGAGTGTGAAGTATACTGACTTGAACATTTTAGAGTATTTGCCTCGCTAATTCCAACTTATATAAAGCAGTAGCAGCACAGAGACAATGGTATGCCATTGTTGTTTCAGGCTGCTTAGTAATAGATTTTAAATTCGAGGAAGCATAGTTAGGAGTTGAAACGTGAAAGTTACCTAGCAAAGGTCTTGCTTGAATTCCCAAAAGAGAAAAGAGGCAAATCAGAAACAAAGCTCTCATACCGAGAATCGTCATATTAACTTAGACTAAGAGACACAAGCCTTCTATTGAAGGCTTAGTGTATTTATAACCAAAGAATAGTAGGTAACGCATGCGCAGCCCAAACAGTATGAAAAACAAGATATATTTTTAAGGTTTTACTAGGTTTATTATATTGCCGGCTTAATCATGTCACAGAATCATATTGTTTGATATGTTTAACGTACGAGAAAAAGTTCTATTGGTTGAACCATGGCCAAAATCCAAATGCATGCTTGGAAACGATTAAAACAGTCCATAGATTGGCTATCATTTTCGGAGAGATGTCACTCGCAGGTAATCTTGATTTCTTCCCCCGACTTCTTTCACCTGTACGTGGCCATATCTAAGTTGTTCCTGCATGATTGATAGCCCAAACATTAGGAAATTTTGTATGTAAATCTTTACGTTTTATCCTCATTAAAATATCATCTGATGCAATTATTGACTGCCCAGCATATCTTTCAAATATAGACCCATGTTTTCAATAGTGGCAAGCTTATTACGACATGCTCACGTTGCTGAAGTGCCTCTGTTTGAGGAGTAAATACATCACGTGGATATATATTGATCAACTTGTTCAGTTGCCCTGATCGAAATTCACTAGTATGGAGAATGCCAAGACATGCATGTGCCAGAATTTTCAGTTTGATGGAGAAAGGCATAAAACCATCAACCATCAGATGTGCTGATACTTGAGCACAACTTTTCCACCTCAAGTAAGATGGAGGTGCCCCAGTCTCTTTTCCAGAGTTAAGAGTGCTTCCT